TAGGGGGTCTGAAAACTCGCTAAATATAGCGACAAAGTCGCTAAGTTGGCAACACTGGCCACTGCTACCACACGGCGTTATTTACCCGATACGCCAGCGCCGAAACCAAAGAATAACGTTCGACTGCCGCCGTTTCCCTGAAGGTCCACGTTAGAAAGACATGAAACCAGTTCAGGTAAAGTCCAGTACTGGCTGCAGACCAGTCGCTAACCAGTGTGTTCACATCAGGAAGGTGTCAGCCATAACGGGCTGTTGGTCAGGCTGAGGAGCATCAAAGAGCATCCAATCAAACTGCTTCATGTATAGGCAGCAGATTGGTTAGCGTGCTGCCATCAAACACATCGCGGCGAGAACGCCGTGACCTCGCTGAGGTTGGAGCAGCTTCAGAGTGACGGCCGGTCCCAGCCAGGCGGAGGACGCACACGGCGTGAGTTTCAGCCGACCGACCATCTCTGAGTGCTTTGCGTGTTTGTTTTGGTTGCTGTAGTTGCGGTTGGGGAGGAACTCATCACACCTGAAGTGGACGGCAGATGAATAATTTAGCGAGCGGCCGGCGTCGTCCGTGGTCGTCTCTGTGTGCTGATAAAACAAGCTGCCCAGAGGAAGGATGATGTAAAGAGCTGCTGAAACCCTCCGACAAATAAAAAGATTTAAGAGAGAAACTCCCTGAAAGAAACGGCGTCCCTCGGCTCTGCGCTGAATGCGAGGTGTTAAGCTTTCCGTGGCGACATCTATCTCTCGCCACCACCTTGAGGGCATCTTTTAAGCAGAGGAATTTAGCCATTACGTGGCATTAACCTCATTAGAAAACACTCTTTAGCTGCTCCAAGATAAAATTGATTTACAGCTGCCATTTCCACCGCTGCTCTCGATCAATGGTTAAACTATCCCCTTTATGGCCCCGTGCACACTCTCTGCTCTTTTCTCCAGTTTTCTTTAACTGCTCTTTAATTTCATTCCCCCGTCCACTCTTGTCCTTGTGCCAGGTAGCGTTCGCTGACAGGAACAGAGCTCTGCACCCCAGTGGGACCGTTCTGGACTCACCATCGAGTCTCTGGCACAAAGTATTTCTGAGATAAAACAAGTTCATCTCAGCCTGATAAGCATCTTGCTGAAGTTTTAGCTCAGGGTTGCTGTAGCTGCTGACGGAGTGGCGAGCCTGCGCAGCTGCATCGCCGTGTTTACGGGGATTAAGGTGTAGATGTGCTGCTACAGATTTAGACTGGTCCAAAGTCTGCCACAGACAAGCTGAAATGCTGAGTGTTCATTGGTTTCTGGCCTTAAACTGTGACTTGAACATCACCCTGCTGGGTAGGCGTCTTAAATATAATTATAATAACACTAATGAACCTGTGCTAGAAATAAAATCTTAGGATTTCACTCACCTAAACTGGAGCTCCGCCTCCTTGGACGGTCTGCTAGTACAGTGACCTCACAGCAGCCATATTATTGGTCACATGTTGTCATTAAAAATGCTCCAACAGCACAAACACGTTGTAGTTAGCTCAGGTGAAGCTAGCAGCTACAGCCACCTGTGCCACCATGCACCTGTCAGTCAAAGAGGCCACGCCCCTAACATGTAAACTCAGTTTAAACAGCTGAGTGACAGAAACATCCTCCTCTATAGACGTGCTGTGGGGACCGACTCACTGCTGCCTCTGCTGGATGTCAGAGGAACTGCAGCTTTTGTCACTTTCAGCTTTCAGAGTTTGAGACGCACTCAAAGCTCCGCATGAAGCTGATTCTTGGACTCACTGCACTGAGACGGGTCTCTGCAGGCGCTTTGATGAAGGTTTTGGTCATTTGAAGCTATGTTTGAGAAGGCACGCCCCACTTTGCTGTGTCCACACGAAGTGGATGTAAGAGGGCGTGTACAGGTTCGCCGCGTGGCCCAACGTCGAGGTTTGCCTGCCCACTTCTGACAGCTCCGGTTATTCGGACGTTTAAGCAAATCACACAACGCTATATTTCTTTGAGCGATCGATACGACCACCATTCCAGCTTTCCTTACTTCCCTCCCTCCTCCTCTCTCATCTCCCTGTCTGAGCGAATTGATCCACGTGGAGTGATATCAGCCGGCAGATAGAGCGATACGCCCCGCTCCCTCCCCGGCCCTCCTTTCACCACACTTCTGACACATAAATAAAATATGTGGCCTTTTTGTTTCGATTCACCGCCGTGTTAGTTCTGAGAAAAGAATATGGCGCGCAGGGCTCACACGGAGCTGTTGGTAGACAAGAGGGAGCTGAGAGCCGGCTGGTTGCCATCACTCACTGTTCACAGGCACTCTCCAAAATCCCCTGAACTTTCCGACATACGCATTTGTTAGAGTGACGCAGTCAGAGTCTGAAGAATGGCATCAGAAAATTAATGTGAGCACTAAATTATTCAGACGTTTTTTGCCATAATTCCTGACTTTACAACGGCACACACACATCTATATATTCCCAGTCCCATCTGACTTATTGCAGATCCGTTTAGTGTCGGCATCCAAAATTGGCAGAGGAGAGCACGAGAGGTGATGTGAGGAGAGTTCGGCCCCCCGCCCCAGCCCCTGTCCCCACTTTAATACCAGCTGAAATAAATCTGCATGTATCGGGCCTGCTGTTCACACACCGACGCAACATGTTCCTCTGCACCTCGGCTAGATATTCCCGATATGGGGCAAAGGCATTTCCGCAGCTGCACAACAAATATCTGCTAGGTGAACTAACCTCGCGTCCTCGGAGCGCCGGGCCGGCCCGACCGGCCTGACCCGCCCCCTCACCTTTATGTCAGGTCGCACGCACGGGCGTATTGATGTTACGTAACGCAGGCCGGCAGAGATGGCTGAGATAGCAGAGGTGCGACGCAGCAGCTCGGACTTGGAGGAACCACCGGCTCACTAACGGGATTACAGAGGAATTATCTGTCGACATGCTCATGCAGCCTCCTCGCATGTCCAACTGCTCAGCGAGCGACACCATCGTCATCATCACCCCATACACGCAACATCATAATGGGCTCAGCAGAGACTTCCCCTCCTCTCCTTCCTTCCTTCCTTCCTTCCTCCTGCACTTCACTCATTCACACCACACTGCTGCGACCTATAAATACCCAAACCACTCACAGTTATTCCCTCCACCTTCCCCGCCTCACTTCCTCTCCCCTGAAAGCCCTGAGTCACCTCAGACAGTCACCTCAGCAGGTGGGTGGGGGCGCTTTCTTAGACAGCGTGATGGTGACGGTGTGCTCAGCGCCGTAAGCCGGCTTCAGCTCCGATTCTATTCGCCGCTGATCAGGGAGCCCTGTGAGACACAGAGAGAGAGGAGATGAGAAAGTGCTGAGTCCGCCTCCAGAATCCCCTCCCCAGAAAGGGGTTCCCCCCACCCCCTGGAAAAAGGAGGGGGGTGAGCTGATGCCCTCACACCTGTGCGGTCGCTGACTGCTCGGACAGTCAGAATATAACGTTCTTCGTCCTTCAGCCTCAAACACAAAGGCTGAAACACATCCAAGCCGAGCTTTATTTATCCGAACAACCCAAATGTGACAATCGAGGAGATTTTACTTTTACAGAAATTCACATGTAATTAAATTCAAGTCAATTTTGAAGTGCTGTTAGTTAAAGTAGAAAGTGAGACTGACGCTGAGGTGGATGATTCGGGACACTTCAGTACGAGCGGTGGTTTGACCACCATTAGACTCAGGCAGCGAGCGCCTCACTCACTCATTAGCTCTATGAGCAGCCTGACACCTCTCAGCCCAGTCTCCCATATGAAACACGCTTCATGTTGGGCTTTTAAACCCAGTTTCAGAACAGTTCACGTGTCATCTTAAATAAAATCATAAAGCCACCATCACTGAGCGACGTCAGACAAAATGTGCTTCCCTGTAAGATCACACGGGCCAGACACGGTAACTCCAACATCACCTCCAATTAAAAATGAAAACGCCAAACTTCAAAATGCCGATCCTGAGCGAAGGGCGGCGTCTGGGGCTGACAGAGTAACACAGCACGGAGACGCTGATTCCACAGGTTCCTTCACTCAGACTGGCTGTAATGTTGTTTCTTCATGGGAGCACAGATAATGCCGGTGATATGAAGTTACTGTAAAGCAAAGCTGCTTCTCGCTCTTCTCGCCCTGCACATTAAGGCTTTAAAGGAGAAAGCAGCTCCTGCACAGAGCTGCAGATCCATATTTCATGCAGCAGATATCCAGGTCATTAAGCAACATTCTGACACCTCTGTTATTTACTACCCCGAGCGCTTTCCTACCTCGTTTAATCAGACTTTACTAAAAGCCGCTGACTCAGAGAAAACCTTCTTTCTTTCTTTCTCTGCGCTCTGTTTATGTTTATCTCCTCGCTGCGTTCTGCTGCATTCGCCGCCTTCCTCGCCTTCTCTTTGCTTACTTACTCATATCTTTCAAAATGTCTATTTCACACGGGGCTGGGGGGGGGCAGAGGCACAGATCACAAAAGAGCAAATAGGGGGGCGAGGGGGATGAGGGGGGCGCTCCCAGCCAGCGGTCAGGTGATAAACTTGTAAGCACCTCACCAAACGCACAACCTCACACGCCCTCGCCGTCCCCACGCCGATGTGTTAAACAGCCAAGTGCAGCGTTTTCTCCTCAGAGGAGGGTTACCTTCGATTTCCTCTGCTGGGAAGGGAGCTGGCGGGGCAGCTCAATACAAGTTACCTTTAATGGACGAATCAGGACGCAGAGCTTCAGGAGACAAGAAGAGGCAAGTGTGGGGGGTGGGG